CAACGGTACGAGGAGCCGGGCGAGAGTGATTTCTTGGTTCGCCGCTCGAACTTCGCATTTTTGCAGCAGTCGCCGCGCGCACGGCAGTTGAGATTCTCGCTTCGCGCGGTGTTCAAGTGCGCGATTAATATTTTAATGCGGCTCCTCTCTCCGCGCCGAGGGCAGAAATTGCTACCCGCTTAAGAGAATTATCCGTGAAACGTTTACTTTATTTCGCTTATTTCGCTCTTCGCGCGATTTTTTTCCCTCCCTCGACGTTAAGTATCTTGACATTCAAACAAAGCCTTAAATTAAATTCCCAACAAGGCATCTTCCAGTTAGAATTATGAGGAATATTGTGAAAAATGAGGTTTCATTCTACACCTTCCATTTATATCCCCAGATTGAACTCATCAAAACACTAACTAATTAGCAGCTGTCAGCCTTAACTCTTGAAATGAGCTTTTGCTTCTTGTGATCTTTTTGTTTCTCTGCCAAGAAGAAATAATTTCCACGTTCTCAAAAGCCGCTTTCATAAAGAGGCGCGAGATTGACTGTCGCTTTTCTCGCCGGCTAACGGGACAGCGTTAAGTGAGATAAACAAAGAGAGAACGATAGAGAGAGAGAGAGAGAGAGAGAGAGAGAGAGAGAGAGAGAGGAGGAGGAATGCACTGTTTGCGTCGCTTTAATTACGTTTGAAAGCACAAGGGACGGCCGACGCGAAAACGCGAAACGGGATTACGGGTACGCGACGCTAACGGCGCTTAAACACACGAGAGGAATCTCCGTCGCGCTCGCTCGCGCAATACGCCAATACGCCGCCGGCAATTCTTGGCGTGGCACAATGCATGAATGCGAGAGCGCGCGCGACTCGTGAATGACCCAGACTTGGCCTCTCCGCGCCCCTGCCTCGACACGTGCACGCACGATGCATTCCTCTCTCGCATGCAGCACGCGCGAATTGCACGACCGGCCTCCGACATAGATGTTACCGTGGCCCGCGCCGACACGTGGCGGCCACGGAGAGAGCGAGCGAGAAGGGACGAGAAGGGACGGAGGGAGAAAAAGAGACGAGGGGAGTAGGCGAGCGAGGAATCGCCGTGGCTCGAAAAGGCTTTAATGAAAGTTGCCTGTTGCTTGCACAAATCGCCACGTCAACGGAGAAAATCTCTGTCCCACTGTACGGCCGTCCCGGCCTAGGAGGATATCCTCATCCTCTTCTCCGAGAGAGACGCGCGTTCTTTCATGTGACGACTCGTACTAATGGTTGCCGCGGGTTTATCTGTTCTTATTAGAGATGAAGAGTTC